ATATTTCAAGAAATTTGCCCAATACTTCGGTTCGACTTGGATCGGGCGTTTAAAAAAGCGACATAAAAAGTGATGTAACGTCCACCATCAAAGAAAACACAATGTCACATGAGAACGAAAAGGACTGGACGTGACTACTTCCGGTGCTAAGTTTCCCGCTCTAACACTGCAAGGTTGGTTACACTGATATCGGACAGGTTTCTGTGCCACAGTTTGGTGTAGTGTAAACAGGTGTTCATACTAAACTGGATAGATTTTCATGTCAGCATGAAAAATTCTCCGTTACAGTGTCGACATGGCCAAAAAATATTTTACCAGTCTCACATATTACATGTAGCTGTAAAGTTGAATACCTTAACACTTAAATAAATTACACTATTCTTGTTGTTGTTATTATTTTTTATTGTCATTACAGAAAGGCTATTATTACTTATTTAAATGAAACACTAACTTACTAACCCGCCGGATGACTGACGAACAGACCAACTAGCCGGACGGAAGGACAACCCAACTGATCGATTTATCACTAACTTATTCACAGAATGACTCACCTAAATGACTGAATAACTATGTGACTGACGGAATGAATGACTAACTGACTGACTGACTGACTAATTAAACGACTAACCTGACTGAATAACTTACTGATTGACTGGATAGCTGAATGATTTATTAACTGACTGGACGACTGAATGACTAAACGACTGACTAAATAATTGACTTACTGACTGACTTACTAACTGACTGATTGAATGCCTTACTGACTGACTGACTGACTGATAAAATGACTGAATGACTGCCTAGATGACTGACTGACTGACGGACTAACTAATCAAATGACTTACTGGCTAACTGACTTATTGACTGGATGACTGGATGACTTACTAGCTAACTGACTGACTAACTACTATCGAATGACTTACTGGCTGACTAACTGTTTGGATGACTGACTGACTAACTAATCAAATGACTTACGAGCCAACGGACTAGTTGACTGGATGACTGATTGACTTATTAACTAACTGACAGACTGACTGACTGACTAATTGAATGACTTAATGGCCAACAGACTAGTTGACCGGATAACTGACTGACTGACTTACTGACTGAAGAACTAACTAATCGAATGACTTACTGGCTAACTGACTAAATGTTTGGATGACTGACTGACTTACTAACTACCTGGCTGACTGACTAACTGATCAAATGACTTACTGACTAATTTACTAACTAACTGACTGACTGACTAACTGATCAAATGACTTACTGACTACTTTACTAACTAACTGACTGACTAACTAATCGAATGACTTACTGACTAACTGATTAAAAGAATGGATGACTAACTGCATGACTTACTGGAAGATTGAATGACCAGCCTGACTAGAATTTTAACTAACTGACTGACTGACAGACAATGAACTGAAAAACAGTGGGACTGGAGGACTAACTGAATGACAGATTAACTGTTCTAACAGCTGAATGACGGTTGGACGTAAGAAGTGAGTAACTGAAAAACTGACTGAGGAACTTACTGAAAAGTACCTGAAACATTCAGTACTTAAGAAATAACAGAGAACTTAACTAAGCAGTTTACTACTTTTGTGATCACCTAGTTACAGAACTAAGGGAGCTTTCCAAAAGACAGAACTGGCCAGCTGGACCATGGCCAGACCAGTCATATTGACAATAAAATTAGCTTGCTGAAAAAACATCTCTTTCGTGCATACTAGCTATTTAGGATTCGGCTGATCTGGCTGGAAAGATCTCATAAAAAGTGAAATTCTCATTACAACGACAATGGTCTGCCAGTCAAATCTGACAAGTGGAAAGCGCCCTAAGTTCAAAAGGCGATGAATGCTCATTTCGGTCAAACTGCTTACAAAATACGTTATAATAATTTATGCATTAGGTTCGGTACATGAAAGGTTCGCCGTCGGAAACAAAGCCGTTCCAAAGGCGCTCCAGAGGCGAAATTCCCGGCCGGGCCAGGCGAAAAGAACGGCTGAGCCGTTACAAATTGAAACAGGCGTTCCTAACTGATACAGACGCCGAACTTTTCATGTACTTAATTCAATGTATTAAGTTCGGCTCATGAAAAGTTCGGCGTCTGAACCGGGCCTAAGTTAACTAACTATGCGAGAAATAAATTACCTTTAATAATTCGTACCTGAATTTATCACCTAGTTTAAAACAATGACTTACGGTAATCAAAAAACTGCGAGGATCATATCCGTATTAATTCGTAAAAACCCTCCAACCTACAATGCATAGTAATGGGCAACTGATAGCCTTTATAGTGTTCTGTTAATATTTGAATTGATGGTTACATCTGAAGATGAATGTTGTACCATACGAAAAGTCAAGCTAAAGGATATAAGTTTTTCCAGCAATGTGGTTTTCCACATGTTTGTAACCGCAGTTTACCTGTTATTTCCTGCACGAGGTGTAATCTGTTTTTATGAACGTGAAGCTCGTGCACGTGTCCCAGCACAAGCCTGTTACTGCAGGTCATTACGTCATAGTGACGTGGCGGACTGTTGGTCATGTCTATGCATGTTTCAAAGCGGTTTGCAGCACCATGCAGAAACACGTGATCATCCCTTGTATTATTTGTCACGAAGCTTGTGAGGTTGGCATCCCAAGATGAAAATCCGTCATCAAAATGGAAGAGCTCTGCCCCATCAGGCTGAAACACAAGGATTAACTATGTTACTAAAAACGTGACCGTTCTTATTTAATTCTCTTTCTCTCTCATGAGAGGCAAACGTAAGGTGGTACTTATACCAGTATTAATTTAAACACACTTTATAATCATAGCTAGATTTTTTTCCTACAAACCACTGCCCTTTTCCAGGCGTTCATATTGTAAGGACAGCGCAGAGAGATGTAAGAAGGAAAAAAGGCGAGGGGGTAGGGTAGGGGGTTCCCTCCCCTCTCCCTCTCCCTCTCTTTCTCCTTATTTTTCCGCTCTCTCACTTCGCGCCGCACTCCACTATCTGAACACCTGAAACACGCTAACCACTCACCTGGAACAGGATAACCACTTGCTGTCACTGCTTACATTAAGGTCACATGACCTTTCAATGAAACTGTTTATCGCCAAAAATCTGTAAGCTTAAGCAACGGCAGCGGCAGCGGCAGCGAAAACGTCAGTTAAAAAGTGAACTCGTGCTTTTTCAAACTTCTTTAATCTTATCTCATTTCATTTAATTTGTCAAATGTTGGGGAATTTTTCAGAAGTTAATTCTAAAGGACTGTATCTAAGATCAGAAAAAGGAAAAGAAAATTGTATTCTTGTGTTCACGTCCTCCATAAAACGTGAAACCAGACGGTTTCACGTTGTAGTCGTGCAACAACGGCAAAGAAATGTACAAAAACTCAAAGCGTGACGCACGTGCAAAGTTGTTGTTTTGCTAATCTAAACTTATTGTTTTTTTGTCGTTCTCGTTGCCGTCCCCGTCGTCGTTGCTTGAGCTCCCTAATATTGCAAACTCTATGACGTCAGCGGCCAAGAGAACACTTTTACTCGCGACATTTTCCGCGTCCTTGTTTTAATATTGGATCTTATTAAAGCCGAGTTCTATCTTTGATTCCACCCCAGGAAACACAAGAGATCAGTTTACGCAATAACGACGGCGTCACCAATGAAAACAGAGAAAAAACAAGTTGTGCTGTGAAAACAATTCTTTCACGATCAAGGTTTAAAAGCCTTGAATAACTAGTGTCAAGAACTGAGATCAAGGCAAATAATCACCAACATATTTCACTGACCAGCGAAGTCGTTGTCTCAAAAATAGTTTATGACGCTGCCTTTCTCTTCCTCGAGGGTTAGTTGCTTTGATGAGGTCACATATTTTGAAAGCGGAATAAACCCAGTTTTTGATCCTCCATCGTCATAAACCACGAAGTCTCTTTACAAAGATGATTCAAATTCATTTAGTGCTCAGTTTTGCTGGTCTGTTCATTTTTTTTCCAGTTCCTTCTACCGAAGTCGGAAAATAGTACGAAACTCCCTGTAAAAGAAAGCCAGGGTACAACAAGAGTGTGTAAGTTTGATTGTACAACTAATGGCACATAATAGTATGGTTTAACAAAATGTAAAGCCAAGCAGAGAAACCACTGCAGTCTCCTCCATTTTTCTTCCTCCAGTCACCCCACCCAGATTATGACGGCTTTGCAGCCAAGCAGAAGAGAGCCAAAGAGGGAAGCGAGTAAGGGAAAGAAATGCTTAACGAAAAGGCATTAGACTCTTCCACCTTTGCACAGCTTGGTTCAATATTATCCAATCAACATCATTTCAAGTCACGCAGTTGTTCGTCCTTCTCTCCCCCTCTCCCCAGCCTGAGACTCAGATTAGCGGGCTTTGTCGCTCGCTCCTCGCTGAATGATTTTTTCCTTTAAAAGAAAATGAGAAAAAGTACCTTATGACCCTCTTTTTCTCCCCTCCAAACTTTGGAAAAGACAATAAAATTTACTAGTTGATGTAGTACAGATATTAGACATCAAAAATACCGTAAGAAAAGTGCGCGCGCACAATTTACATATGCACGACTTGAAAGTAAGTTGGTTCAGTCATATCAGAAAACCAACAAGCAAGTTTTGTGACCGAGTGAAATTTCTGACACGGATCAAACCCATCCAATCAACCTGTAATTGGATTGGATGATTTTTCTTTTACATGAAAAAGATATCTTATTGGCTAAAACCTATTTCTTATCATTCTTATCACAATTTAAGACCGTATGGCTTCTAGTGAGCAAGTACGAGCAGTACGTATGAAAAAGAAAGTTATTTATCTAAAATTACTCGCGATCAGGCTAGTTTTTTTGGTCTTCGCTGATGATAAGTAGATTTAGTAAAAGACCACATTGCACGAAATGAGAGTGGATGAAACGGTCAACTCGATGAAATTCTAGGACAAGGCATCCAAGAGCATGAACCATTGCAACCTTTCAACAGGTCTCTTTTAACTTTTCAATATCTGGGCTGCAGTAGTTCTATAATGCAAAGAAAATGGTAAAATACCTTTTTGACTGACAACAAAACTCTTGTGCTAAATCCCTACGTTCTACGTCAGACAGTGCTTTGTGCAAACCACGGTAAGTCGCATCTGAGGCGTCCCTTCCTTTCCAAGCAATCAGCAATTTGTATGCTTTTTCAGAAAGATTATTATTGTTCTGGTCATGTTCTGTTATCTGTGCTTCATCGAACTGTAGCTTACGATCAAGGTTTTTCCACTTGTCACCGATTTTTCGTGACAGACCTTCCAGTTCATCGGGTGTTGGAATGCCATCTTTGATTTCTGTGAAAGGAAAAACCTCTATTTAAAATTCGTGTAAGAGAGGAGTGAAAATAATCGATGGAGATACCAAGTGATGGATCCTCCATCTTCAGACCAACAGAATAAGGTATGCACATGAATGAGACATCCTGAACAAATTTAATGAATGGCTAAACGAAGGGCGGTAGGAATTCATAAAAGAACAGGTTCGTTAGCCTGCGTAGCTAGCGGTATTTTTTTCTTTCTGTCGTTCGAAAAGTAAGAGATTCAGCCGCGTGAATGCTGAACCGAACCCGGGGGTGGGAAGCAGGGTCAGGGTTTGAATCCCGGCAAGCCTGTTTTTTTTTTCTAGGCTCTCTTTTCGCAACTATTTAAGTTGCGTATTCAATTGTGATGATCTTCTCGGAAGGTCAGTTATTTCTTCACCCCGCAGTTCAACAGAAGTCATTGTTGTTTTGCTTATCAAACCTACTGCTTTTGTTCTTTATCAGACAGTACATGGTAATGATTGGCTGTACACAGAAACAGTGCATACGTGTTTTTTTTTGGTAGCGCTGTGGCTGTTACGATTCGTGCATTTTAAGCCTCCTTCACGGTTGGTGAAATTTTCATGAGATGAACCAAATTTAGTGAGTTAAGTTCATGAAACGTTTGACGTCTGCCTCAGTTAAGTTCGTCTGAATGAGTTTGGATCGTCCAACACGTTCCGTCCGTCTACTTCAGACGAATAAAGGAACGTCTGAAGATCGATCGTCTCCGGGACACACGTCGATCTTCATACGCAACGAACTAAGCTAATAAATTGAAATTTGTATGATAATGCATGCTTAGCCTCGTTCGGGAGAAAATTTATTACATATCCGATTCAATTGATTGGTTCGACGCGTCCTAAGATCGACGTCTGACCCAACAGACGATCTTAACATAATTTCGGTCGACCCAAATTAGAGTTTGGTTCGTCTCATGAAAAGTTCAACGTTTGGCTGGCCTGGGCCTAAGACTTCACTGACCACCTTTAGGTACGAAAATTGACTGAGAAGCTTCTCAAGACCTTCTCAAGTCACTGTTAAGTCTCGTGGCAAACGAGTAAACGTAATCTAAAATATTTAAGATATCCCGTGCATGTATTAAAGCTTACAACTTCCTTTTGATAATGCCGGAGTCACACAGAATGGAAGTGAGCTTTTGAACACTGCAATCTAAAATATTTGACGTTATCCACACTGGTTCTTGCCTTGGGGCAGTGTGATAGTATTCTATACAGCCTAATATAACTTAATTCAACAAAGTTCCGAATTAAATGTTGTCAGTTTAGCGGCTTAAGTACGCTACGCACCTAGCTCAGAACTTTCGACATGGCTGGAGAAAAATACTAACAGACACAACACTAATTTTGACATTTAGTATTCATCGGTTATACACGATCCTTCGTTTAGGGAAAAAATTGAAACTTGTGCGAGCCGTGTTTATGTTTTTTACTGAGTGTCACTGAAACAAAGTCGGATCAGAATGAGACCCCATTGACACGATAAAATGAAAATGATAGTCCGTTATCCTTATTAAATTCTTCGTCATGGCGAGTATCAGTGCAATTTCCTCGCTTTTGTACTTAGCTTCTACTTGTTACAGTGGTCAATGCTAGAGGAGGTAGAAAGATAAGCTGCTGTAAAAACTTAAAAAAAAAAAATTCATGAAGAAAACAGAAAAGAAATTATTGTTAAATGAGCATCTTTAAATCCATAAAACACGGCTGTGTTTTTAACTTCGATTTTCTATAAAATAATAAGAAAACCAAATAGACCTACGATAGAGGTTTTTGAAGCTAAGACACGCCAACCTTACAAACACTGATTATTGAGGATGGAAAATGCCTTCTCGAAATGAAATTTGAGGAAATAGGCGGAAATAAACAAAAAAACTTACCAGGTTCTTGCGCATGCTCCATCGAACCGTGACGTACCTGAAAAGGCATGAAAGGTAGAAAATTTTAGCGTACATGCACTTTGATTACCGATCAGGGTCAAAAGATTCCATTAGCACGAGTATCCTAGCCTGTATGCGAACAAGCTCTCCATTTGGGGGATATCGTGAAAAGAAGACGCGCGAAAGGTACGCGAGAGGAGACGCGAACTTCGCTGCTCGCTCGCCCAAATAGGAGTGCTTGCTCGCACTCGCAGGCTACGAGTATCTAGGCGGCCAAACCACTAATGCTACGACATAGGGTATACGCATTAACTAAACACGTTCAACGTACCTGAATATGGCGAGAATTGAGCGTATATGAGTCACCTTGCCCTAACCGTAAGGTAAACACACACCTTGACCTTAACCTCTAACCCTCACCCTAACCCAAACTCAAACCCTAACCCTAACTCATAATCATTTCAATGTTGGTTCTGTGCATAACCAGGTTGAGTTTGTTGTTGGTTCCCTCCCTTGCTCCGAGAGGGTACTCCGGTTTTCCTCGCTCTTTAAAAACCAACACTTCCAAATTCCAATTCGATCAGGAACGCACCCAAGTGCTCCGTGGGTAAACAAATTACAATTACAATAACTCACTGACTCATAAGACTGACAAAACAAGTTTTCTTGATCTCGAATGTGGCATATTCTGGTATGCTGAGATTTAACAACGCAACACTTTTCCTCGTCTTTGCACGATTATAAGGGCACTCAGATTCCTTTGCTCCCATTCATAATTCTTCGAGACATTTAGGTTTTTGGACGAAGAGAGAACCTTGAAATGATATCAGGGAAAATTTGCAAAAAAGGATAAAGTTTATCAGGAGCTCTTTACAAGTGAGAAAAACGGATAAACCGTGACAAAAGAGAGATTAAGACTCACGTTTACTGCAAACGGCAAACGTCGGATTCAAGTTGAGAATTTCTTAGAATAGAAAATAAGCAGATAAAAAAACAGTCCAGAACGATTCTTATGGATGAAACTGGCATAAAACTATTTATTTTTGTGTAGAAGCAATGAAGAGTAAACGGAAAATAAATAGTTTTCTAGTTATTATGGCAGATGTAGAGCTGTCTCGTCTGGATATTCTGCAATAAATCATCATCATCACAATCGTCATCGTCATCGCTATCGCCACTCTATAGAAGGCTAATGTCTATAAAATGTTTTAGGGCCTGTTTACATGGAGGTGGGGGACCCCAGATAGGTGAAGTAACCACCTTTCATGTAAACGTGATAAAATTAATTCTGAGATTATATGGACAGGCGGGTTACCTCACCTACCTGGGGTCCCCCACCTCCATGGAAATAGGCCTTTAGCCGATAGTAGTAATACTAACCGCACGTGGAATGTTCTGGATGGGCAAGTGAAATTTACACAATAGACTCGTTCTTCCTGTAGGTGTCAAGGTGTTATGGAACTCTACTTCTGCTAGGTCTTCGTCTTTAACGACACGAACTCGCAATTCAGTCTTGAATTCAAGATTGTCTTCTAATAACCTGTTCAAATGTAAAACAAAAATATCCATGCTGTAATAACGGTTCCTTTACGGTAAGCTTAATAAAAAAAACAGACAAAGGCCTTACTTATTCAATTTGCATTTTTTCCTTTCCATGCTGGGATGAATTCGGAATCAACTAGATAGGTAAAAAACAGGCTGCAAACATTTTTACTCCCTACTGGCGTCCTACAGTTACGTCGTTAAAAACCGAGAGACATCGTCTTTATGTGTAATATTGCACCAGCGCGTGTATCAGCCATACGTTACACGTGGTATTAAAAAAGAAAATCCTCAAAGAAGTGCTGCCAAAGTCAAAAGGATACTTTTAAGCATTTTAAAACCACCGATTCGCATGACTATTCAATAGGCCATTTCCGAGTTCCCCCGGGCCTCTGCTTCAAAACGAGGGTAGGTGCTCAGCCTTTGATATGGAAATCATTTTTCTTTCTCATGCAAATAAAACTCATTTTCACAAGAAAGGTTGTGCACCTAGCCTCATTTTGAAAGTGAGAGTTTTTGGAACTCGGAAGTGGCCTATTGCAAAGCGGTTCTACTTAGGGATGGGGTGAGGGGCGGAATTTGTGCAGGCGCTTCGCTTGAATTGGTATGTGATGTGTTTATACAAAATGCTTACCTGAGGTAAACATCCACGTCCTCATCATCGAATGGACATATTCCTCCCGATACAAAAACAAATGCCTTGTCCTCTCCTGGTATCATATCTTGCTTCGAACTGCCATCAGCATATATCACGTCTCTATTTTCAAGATCCTGTATCACCGCATGAGTAAGGTGTGTATGACAACATATAAGGCGCAAAATGTTTGGAATATCCGGACGAAAGTAAGCGAAGAAACTTGCTGGTCTGCGCCGTTTCCTTAAGAATTGGGTCATGTAACTAATAATTCCAAGTCTTTCAACACTGGAGTTTTCTGGACGCCAGTCAAGAAGATAGGTATATCTGGAAGAACCAAAAATTAAAAAGTGAGAACCAGGTTGAAGGGAGTTGCTATGAAGCTTGAAACTAGAAAGAGCTTATCTCAACGAGTTAAAAAAGCCAGTTAGCACTTCGTTCATGAGCCATCAACCTTTTTTCCACAACTAGAATGAGAAGACTTGGAGAAAATAGGCGCGCGCTGTCGAATTCTCGAAAAAAAGAGAAAACGCATGGGGACAGGCAAACGTTAACCTGATCCAACAGAATCCAACACCATAAAACAGATCTCACATGCTGCGTCCAACAATTTTGGATGAAGTTGGACCAACACTTACCATTGTTGGATGGAATCCGTTAAAGCGTGGCTCAACTGTCTATCTATTCTAAATAACTCAATGATTTTTTAAGCTTCGTTACCCAGAAAATCGTTGGACCTGGATCCTAACAAAATTCCCGTCAAATTGTGCAGGTTTCACGAGATCAGTGAGTTCAACCCATTCTTTTTTTTTCTCTTCGCAATTCAGGAACAAGACTCTAACAATGCATCTAGTGGGATCTGGTTTAAAGTCCAGCCGGTCTCGAAGAGAAACTGGTAGCTGAATGGTAACAGGTCCAAAGAACTGGATAACCCCAAAGCATTTAATTCGCAGAATAGGTCCAAGAAATACACCTTCCTTTTCACATTCTTCATTTAGAACTTCTTGTACCTGTACCATTTAAAAGAGTAAGCAGTTAATTTCATGTATTCTTTTAGGCTTTAAAATTGACATGGCTTTCCTATACGTTAAATAACAACGTAATTCAAGTAACAAAAAGATCTCGCCAAGATTCAGTAGACGATTTTTCAGTCAAGGTCCACTAAACTGGTCAATATTAGATCATCATGTTTATGAAACCGTTGCACTCTAAAAAGCCTTGCTGATCTTTTTATCTTGCTAAAATAAAGTTCTTATCTTATCTTCTTATCTTCTTTGCCTGCATATCAACACTTGTCTTTATATAATAAAAAATGGACCTTTATAATCACACCAACCTTTAACTCCAAGGTAAACGGTGACTTAGGTGCAACAGCATTCTCAGGGATTGTAACCGTCACTCCTGGATAATCAGGATGAATGAATAAACCGCCAGTAGATGTGATGGTGTAAGGCGGAGAAGATTTGAGACGGCAAACCACTGCATATGTTGAGCACTCATTTATGTCAGCTTGAGCAACGGGAAAGAAAATGTCTCGTATTTCCTTGTGAGACGGGTGCTCATCATCGATATCTGTTACCGATAAAAGATACAAGTAAAATGTGACTATCACATGCACTTTCTTTGTCTTCCTTTAACAACTAAAAAAGACTGACGTTATAGAAATTAAGACTGGAATCAAGCTTCAGATCGAGAGCGCAAGCGCAACTGCAACACTTAACAACACTATCTCAAAAAAAAGAGAAACCTTTCAGCAATACAGAAGACGTACACCGCATCCTGCTTACAGAAACAGGATCTGCCAAACGGTTTTCTATAGTTGCCATAAGTCTACTACATAGAGAACATTTCTATACCTTGGCGACAGCGTAAGTCCTTGGTTCCACTCACGTCTTCCCATTCATTGGTCTCCTTGTTGATCTGCCGTTTTATCACCACTTCGTAGCCCCGTAGGTCCGGTGCACTGTGAGAAAGCGACAAAGTCACCATGGCACTGAATTTCAGGCGCTGGCCATCGTGGGAAGATAGTTCAATAACATTGCTGACAATGGCCTCGTGTTCCTGTAGTGGGGGTGAGCAGACACTGGATTTCCATCTGTAGACCACTATTGACGTAGGCTCAGACACAGCATTTGGATGGAATATAAGATGGACAGCCCCTGTCTTGAGGGCCCGGGGAGTACCTTCACTTGCCACTATTTCTCTGCAATGAGCCGGTAAAAATTTTGATTGTAGGTTGTTTTCAAAACATAGCTTTCACTAGTTCAATGTTCGAGTAAAATCTAGATTAAATGAAGAAGATAATTATAAAGCTTTTTGGGGGGTAGGGGACAGAGACTGGACGATAATGGTTTTGCTCTACGCAGTGCAAGGGGATGACGAGTTCAAGGCAAAAAACTCGTCGCACAGTTTTCCTTTTTGTTAGTTCAATAACGACACAGCAGTTCAATAAGTACACAACCGATTAATAACCACACCAGTAGTTCAATGACAACACATCCGTTCATTGAGCGTAAACTATATGCAGCTGCGGGAAGAATAGTCACAAATACGTTAGTTAGTTTTTAATAAGAATGCATAGCACTAAGTAAGTGGTAAATACTCATTTAGCTATGGTACGAGAACTAAATAGATAAATAGCTATGTTTCACTGTTATTAAGTTCTAGTGAGCTCACTAATATAGACGGGAACATAGACTGATGTTATTTTAAAAATTTTAGTCCGCTCAGAAGGTCTGTCATATAAATATAATATAATGTTAACTATATTATTCAACATCAATTCTTAGCTGCTTTTATCCTCCAAAATTAGGATACCCTACCCTTAGCGTTGAGCAAAGTCTGTTGTTGTCGAATTTCAAACAATTCCCTACTGAAAAAAAAAATTAGTAAATTTTGACTGGGACGTTCAGTCGGATTCTTGTCCGCGACGTATAATCATACCGTGAGCGAAACACTTTTCAAAGGGGGTCTTCGATGTGACAAGTCAGATCATCTTTTAAATAAAAAAATAAGCATAGCGAAAAGAACGTACCTTATTCTAGGAAATTAACAATGCACGATTTTAAAAAAAGTCGCGTTAGTTTAATGTATCTTAACTCACATCGATTTAAATTCAACGCACGCTATTTTACAACATTGTTATTTTAAAGCACCTTTATGGAATCAGTGTTACTGTGAGTGTTCCATCTAACAAAGTTCTTGTTGTAGTTGTTTTTACTAAAAACGTTGTTTAGGTAGTCAGTCTCGTCTTGTTGGCTGTCAGGTGAGTCGCGAACTAGTTTCGCTCGTCTTGTCAAAGTCCGTATGGTTGTAGCCTTTTCTTGTGAGAGGTAGGGTTGTACGATGACTGGTCTAGTAATCGGTCGGTAAAAACTATCTGATTTCACGTCAAAAGACACTAGTTAGTGGTCGTCAGAATAGGAACGACTATTTACAGAAAACCGACACATTACGCACCAATTACATTACGAGTCTTTATAGCCAATAAAATCACGGCTTAAGTGACAGACGACCAATAACATCTCGACGTAATAGACCAATCAGGTCAATAACCAGAGTATAATACCATCAACTGACGTGATGCAACTCACTTTGACTCTGAAGACGACTACCGCACAGATTGTCGAAACGTCAGTCACTATCAACAACAGTCCTGTTCAGGACTACGTTCACCCGGACGATCCAACCTTGAGATATCCGTATGTTGAGATTTTGTAAGTGCAGCAAATTTGTGTTGAATGAAGTAAGATGCTCACCGAAAAATTCGCGTTAATTTAATGCATATAAACCTAACTTTTAAAAACTTCGCGTTAATTGAGTGCAATGTAAATTTTTTTTCGCGTTGTCAACGTGCATTGTTTATTTCCTAGGATAAGGTAATTGTACCCCTAACAAGTTTCGAACACGCGGGAACTTCAAAACGCCGCGTAAAATATAGACTTCTTGCCGTTTAAGCAAAACTTATGTTGAAGATGTAAAGCGCACACGGTGCATGCAACCCGTGCAAAAAATAAAAGACATTAAAAACATTAGGCCCCGTCCACACGTATCCAAGCCTGCGAGAGCAGACGCCTTTTTCGGCTCGTTGAAAAAGCATCTTCTTTCGTGGAATCAGTCTTCCGTCTACAGATGTAATTACTCATATGAGAATTGGACACTCACTAACACCTAACTTTTTAAATAACGCCGCTCTCCGGAGAGGGAAGGTCGATTTCCCGATCACTGGTGTGGAAGAATGAAAAAGGAAAACTATCGAAAACAAGACGTCACGGTATCTGATCTCGCGCGGAATAAAAATGTCTCACCGCCACTTTCTTTTTTCTTTACAAGTGTAGCATATCTTAGTTCATTTCTCTCTTTTTGGGTAAAATGTTGAAGCTTGTTATTTCTGACTACGAGTTTATCGGCAGGGTTTCTTTTATCACAAGTTTCGAAAATCGAAGCGTTAAACGACTCAGCAACGCCTCGCTACTACATTTACACAAATGTAATTTTAATGATAAGTAGCTTTTCGCTACCGTTGCCGTCATCGGAGGTTTTATTGAATTTTTATTCAAACGGTACTTACCTTGTAATGACACTTCTGCTTTCGCCGACATAAGTATTGTCTTCAACTTCAGTTTCATCTTCAGTATCTACTAAAACCTCTTCTTTAGCGGCTTTCATAGGTAATAGTGTCTCAACCACTTCTTCCTCTTCGCCAGCATTCGAAAGCATTCCAGTCTCAGCAGTTTGTTCGAACGAAGGCTTATTCTTTCCTCCTAGCGGAACATAAGATGCAATGATAAAATAAATTAGGATAAACCTGAAGATGTCTGTATGACTACGTACACAGCATATCAGAAACAGAGGATATTACATGGCCGCGCGGAGATACGAAATTTCTCTTCGAGTGTTGAAAAATATTTCACGAGTGAATATTCTATTCATTATTTAAACACCAATGAAATGCCAAACCATTTTACTTAAAAAGTTTTTTGGTCTGAAAGGTGCGGTTTATTATGAAGCAATCGCAATGGTGATATTTTCACATGTGAAGATATCAAGTTTTCGCGCGAAAGCTCACTTGGTATTTCACTGGTATTTATATAATAAAGATTTTTATGCTGACACAAAAAAACTGTTCTGTTTTATTAAAAGCGGAGTTCGACATCAATGGAACAAATAGCCTGCGTGCCGGCAGACGTGTCCTATTTCCTTTGTAGCAGGCGGAAAGGTGAGAAATGAAACAGAACGTTCGAACATCACGTCGAATGGTACAAATTTTGCTTGATCGGATTATAATTATGCTTACTATCACAGTGAGCGAAACACTTTTTAAAGGGGGCCTTCGATGTGACTAGTCAGATCATCTTTTAAATAAAAGGAAAATAAGAATACTGAAAAGAACGTGACTGAACTCCTAACAAGTTTCGCACACGCTGGAAATTCAAAACGCCGGGTAAAATATAGACTTTTTGCCCTTTACGCAAAACTTATGTTGTAGATGTAAAGTGCACACGATGCACTCAACCCGTGCAAAAAATAAAAGACATTCTAAAACAACATTAGGCCCCGTCCACACGTATCGAAGCCTGCGAGAGCAGACGCCTTTTTCGGTTCTTTGAAAAAAGTATCTTTTTTCGTGGAATCAGTCTTCCGTCAACAGATATACAGAGCCGTAGCTAGCGGGGGCGCAAGGGGCAACTTCCCCCCTCCACCTCTGGACCTGTTGAGCCAGGGAAATCAAGCCCGTGGATGGATTTGTTTTCTTTAGACTCAGTTATTTTGATTACAGTGACTTGCAATTGCTTGCCATTTTCATGATTCGAGGTCGATTTTTCGGAAACATATCTCGTGACAAGTGCTGAAAATAGCGTTTCAGAGCTTCCAAATTTGAAAATTTTCTAAGGGAGGATACCCCCACATCCCCTTTCAAGGCTCTTGCTTTCAGCACCCGCGATAATGCCCCCCCGCCCTCCTCGTTACAAAAACCTAGCAACGACCCTGATATAACTCATATAAGAATTAAACACTCACTAAAACGCAACTTTTTGAACATCGCTCTCCAGAGAGGGACATTAGTATCGTCTTCAAGTTTAGTTTCATCTTCAGGCTCTACTACCTCTAACCTCTTCTTTCGTTCGAACCAAGGCGTACTCATTCCTCCTTGCGGAACATAAGATACAATAATAAGATATTAGGATAAACCTGAAGCTGCCTGTATATCTACGGATAGAGTATACCAGAAAGCTTTTTATGCCCACAAAAAAAAACTATTCTGTTTTATTAAAAGCGGAATTCGACATCAATGGAACAAATAGCCTGCATGCAGACGTGTCCTATTTCCTTTGTTGCAGGCAGAAAAGTAAGGCAGCCTTCACACTTGGTGCCCGGACCCGGTGCCCAAGTACTGTACTCGCTGGGCACTAATATGAACACACCCTTTTTCCAAGCATACCCATGCTAGAATTCGGACACGGAGCCGGTGCCCGAGTACAAGATCGAGAACTTGTACTGGGGCACAAAAGTGGACACTGAGTCCCTGTGTGCACACAGTTAATTACTAGTTCTGTGAGACTCCACGGCTTTGTAATCGTTGCAAAGCTCATGTTTTTAAAAAATGGCGTCTGACAGGGAGAAATGGAGTAACTATGTACACAGTTGCATATCGGGTACTCACGGTACCCATACCGTGGTTCCCGGCCGGGCACCAAGTTTGGACAGCCCCTCCGAGAAATGAAACAGAACGTTCGCATATCACCTTAAATGGTACAAATTTTGCTTGATCGGAATACTTTGGGTTTTTCGCTCTTGATACCTTTTAACGATTTCAAATGTTATCAAGCGAAAAAATGGATGCTTTGAAAAACTTCCCTGAACATCGGCATATACTTTTTCTCTCTAACGACTTAAATAACTGGGTCCAAGGGGGGTGCTCCGGATTTCATTTGACGGGGATGATCGAAGGATTTTTTTGGGTTTGAAATTTTCGACTCCGGTATTTTTTTGTTAGGAAAAGTTTGATTTACGCGGCGATTTTTTTGTGTATTCAAAACAATCTGACGTTGTCATTGTGCATGATGTTATTGATGAAACAGAAGATGTTCTTGGGTGTCTCGAGTGTTGATGGCGAGAAGGCTTTCATTGATATTCTGTATGGGATTTTTTCGGCGTGGGGGGTTAATTTTTTTGCAGGGATTTTTTGTTAAACCCAATGGATTTTATTCAGGGGGGAGGGTTGATTTTTGTCCGCATTCGCGCATCTCTGTAACTTGAAATCCGGAGTACCCCCTCCCCCTTAGGACCAGGGTGCCACAGAAGAAGTCCCTGAGAAGCTGTTACATTCAAAATAACTCAGCTTACATCTGCTCACGTAAGGCAGTAAACCTAACTACAGTGGTATTTAGACATTCGTACGGTACGTCAGCCCGAAATTAGGAGTGGCTTTCATATAACGTTAAGAATTCGCAAATCTCGTAGGCTGTTATCCACCTAAAATCCTCCTCGATCTGCAAAATTCTTCATATCATACTCAACCTCATTCAATAATCAGTGGCACCCAATGATTGTTTTCTGTAAAATATTTGTTTGGAGAAGCAAAAATTACCTAAAATTTTTTATAGCTTGAGGAAGGCTAAAAATTTCTTTACTCCATTCACTTACAATTTTCGAAGCGGCTTATACCTAATAAATTCCCTAGAATTTTGTAAAGTTTAATTTTGCGCATTTCACCACTCAGGTTAAGATATTTTTCGTAGAAAAAGGGATCGAACCGAAAATTTTCGGATTCGAAAATATGATGGAGAGAGGAATTAGTCAAATTCTTACTTTCGTAAAACTTAAAATTGCATCTGAAATAATACTGAAGCCCTCGAATTTCGAAAACACTTAAGTTGCCCTAGGATGACCGAACAGATTCAAATTCTGTAGCGCCGATTGGAATTTATTTCTAAAGATCAAAGAGTACTCTGGATAGCCTAGAAAGTGTGTTCAATGTATGTAGGAGGAAACCGTCGTTGGATGCCACTGAGTAATTACTAAGTAGCCCATTCTAAGCAGTCTCTTTTGCTGGAAAATATATTAGATCACGCTTAAGTTATCTGGGGACAGTTATATGCGTAAATCAACCGCTAACCACACGAGACCTGCTTTTGAAAACCAACGATCGTTGTCCTACTCGATAACAGACTGTAACACTTAAAAAAAAAAAAACAAGCTATTAAAAAGCTCTCACTTAACATCGCCCCAGTGACATTAAAAGAAAATCAACGGCGAAAAGCAGCTGTAAAATAGTACTATTTTTCTCAAGTGCACATTTCAATTTGCTTGCAAACCAAAAAGGTATCGGGTAAAATATTAACATCTTGTTACAGCTTTGATCGAAAAAACCTTTGTTCAGAAATTAGAGAAATAATGTCTTTCCCTTCCTCTTGTAAACTGGGCAATAAACAGAGGTCATCAGTAGACGGACGGGGGGGAGGGGGGCGGGGAGAATGTAGGAAAACTGATAACGTTTTTGTTGAGAAAAAGAATGACATTTCCTTATTAAGTAAAAATGATTTTTGCTTCATGTATTCATTTCAAATATTTACTGAACAAAACTGTTTTCAAGGAGTGTCCCAAAAAATTAAATTTCGGACGAAACTTTTCCTCACTTATGCTCCGCGTAGTGAGTAGTTTCAGTATAACGCCTTTTCGCATCTATAAATAACAAAAGTACCATTCTAGTAACTCAACGACAACTTCACCTTTAATAAACGTACCAGTCATTCCTTTTATCTTCGTCTCAAGAAAATGTTTTGCATCAGAAGTCAAAGGATTACCACTCACAGTCAGCCTCCTCAGCTTCTTTAAGTCACCAATCTCAGAAGGCAGTTCTGTAAGTTTGTTAGCAGACAAGTGCAGCTCCTCAAGCCGGTTCAGCTTCTTTATACTGGTAGGTAAACTAACCAACTGGTTGTTACTCACATCCAGCCTCCTCAGCTTCTCTAAGTCACCAATCTCAGAAGGCAGTTCTATAAGTTTGTTAGCAGACAAGTACAGCCCCTGAAGCTGGTTCAGCTTCTGTATACTGGTAGGTAAACTAACCAACTGGTTGTTACTCACATTAAGCCTCCCCAGCTCCTTTAAGTCAACAACCTCAGACGGAAGTTCTGTAAGTTTGTTACCATCCAAGTGCAGCACCTCAAGCTGGTTCAGCTTCTGTATACTGGTAGGTAAACTAACCAACTGGTTGTCACTCACATCCAGACTACTCAGCTTCTTTAAGTCACCAATCTCAGGAGGCAGTTCTGTAAGTTTGTTACCAGCCAAGTACAGCCACTCAAGCTGGTTCAGCTTCTGTATACTGGTAGGTAAACTAACCAACTGGTTATAACTCACTTGCAGGCTCTTCAGCTCCTTTAAGTCACCAATCTCAGATGGCAGTTCTGTAAGTTTGTTACAAGACAAGTACAGCCACTCAAGCTGGTTCAGCTTCTGTATACTGGTAGGTAAACTAACCAACTGGTTGTATGTCACATCCAGACTCCTCAGCTTCTTTAAGTCACCAATCTCAGAAGGCAGTTCTGTGAGTCTGTTTCTATGCAAGTAGAGTCTGACAAGATTTTTCAGCTTGTTAATACTTGTTGGTAATTCAGTCAGGTTATTGTTATACAGCCTAAGTTCCTCCACTTCAGTAAGTTCAGTGACTGCATCAGGTACCCTGGAGAGTCCGTTTCCACTTAGATCCAAACTTACTACTCCACCTGTAACTCTAACATAGGATTTTAATTTTGCACTGGAATAATTCTCCATGTTTCAAATTATTAAATAAAGGTAGCCTTGTCCTTTCTTTGTAATCTAAAATGAAAATAATAAAAATAGTAGTTAGCAAATAAACGTTTTATTGATTCCCCCGACAGTGTATCTTAAATAGGTGAACTTTAAAGAACAAAAAGGAAAAGAAATCTTAAGGTTCAGAAAGTGCATGATATACATGTAAAATAAACATCTTTGCATGACGATATTATTCATCATTATTAATTATTTTACTCAAAATATTCCGTTTCTGATTGGCTCGAGTCCCCTGGCCAACTCTTCACAACCAGCTGGCATTGACCAAGGGCCTATCATATCTGCACTAGCGAAAAAGCTGTTTGTCTGTCATCACCAATGCTTTAAAAATGCGGATGGTTTGTCACGATTTTACAATTTTTGTCCCATACCAGATGGGACAATCTTCAAAGGCCACAAAATCACCTAAAAAATGAAAACGTGACTTTTTCTTATTAATCATTTGTTGTAAAGCCATTATTCTTTTCATTAAGTAATGACAGATTCGACGGCCTCTTAATAGTAAATAGTTTTCAGTGCGAATCAATGTTTCAAAAACAAAATTGTCACCATGCAAGTTTCAGTTCAGATGTTTCAAAGACAATTCCAAGTTTGTCTGCTAATATAGTGCGGAAAGGTCCCAAATTTCACAAAATTGGTACCAATTGGGACTCTGCGACATGTACACTTGTATAACGTATTCTACAGACTACTATCAACGTCTTACTTTAAAAAGCTGGTTTACTAACTTAGAACAAACGCCACTGAATCGTAACCGACAGTTACCAGCGCCGTACAAACGACTTACTGACGAGATCAGAGAACGACTGGAGAACTGACAATTTGTCTAACAATAAACAACTGTTTAACTGTGACAACAGACGGATCAAAACGCACCAATTACTAATTACGAATCTTCATTGCCAATAACATCACGGCTTAACTGACAGACGACCAATAACATCGCGAAGTAATTGACCAATCAGATCAATAACCAGAGTATAATACCATCAACTGACGTGATACAACTCACTTTGACTCTGAAGATGACTACCGCCAAGAGAGAATGATCTAAGAGAGCGAATCCCCCATACATGACCCTCTTCCCATGAAAATTATTTTCAATCTATTCTTGGTTCTGTGTCATACTGCCTGGTTATTTTAAGGACGCCACGTTATTGGTCGGTTAGAGTGGCGTCATGAAATTCTAAACTTGGCGGGTAATTCATTTAACTGCCGATCACGCACTGCAAGCGATGTGACGTGCAAACTTGGTAATACTTTCTTCGACAAGTCCAAAGATTTGAAAAAATCTGACCAGAGTACCTGCAGAAGAGCAAAATGGTC